TCATGCTTCAAATGCTCCACCATCATCCCCGTCCCAAAGAAACCCAAAATTACTGGACTTAATGACTACAGACCTGTGGCTCTAACGTCTGTGGTCATGAAGTCTTTTGAAAGACTGGTGCTGGCCCACCTGAAGGACATCACTGGACCGTTGCTGGATCCTCTTCAGTTTGCCTACAGAGCAAACAGGGCTGTGGATGATGCAGTAAACATGGGTCTGCATTATGTTCTGCAACATCTAGACAGACCAGGGACTTATGTGAGGATCCTGTTCGTGGACTTCAGCTCGGCCTTTAACACCATCATCCCAAACCTCCTCCTGCCCAAACTAACTCAGCTCTCTGTGCCCACCTCCGTCTGTCAGTGGATCACCAGCTTCCTGACAGACAGGCAGCAGCTAGTGAGGCTGGGAAAATACACATCCAGCACCCGTACGATCAGCACTGGAGCTCCTCAGGGTTGTGTTCTCTCCCCACTGCTCTTCTCCCTCTACACCAACGACTGCACGTCTAAAGACCCCTCTGTCAAGCTCCTGAAGTTTTCAGACGACACCACACTCATCGGCCTCATTCAGGACGGTGACGAGTCTGCTTACAGACAGGAGGTTAAAGAGCTGGCTGTCTGGTGCAGTCTCAACAACCTGGAGCTCAACACGCTCAAAACTGTGGAGATGACCGTGGACTTCAGGAGAAACCCCTCTGCACTCCCCCCACTCACCATCATGGACAGCACTGTGAATGCAGTGGGGTCATTCAGGTTCCTGGGCACCACAATCTCTCAGGACCTAAAGTGGGACACTCACATCGACTCCATTGTGAAAAAGGCTGAGCAGAGGTTGTACTTCCCTCGCCAGCTGAAGCCGTTCTACTCTGTTATCATTGAATCCATCCTCTGCACTTCTATAACAGTCTGGTTCAACTCAGCTACCAACTCTGACCTTAGAAGACTACAGAGGGTAGTCTGGACTGCTGAGCGAATCATTGGTACAACCCTCCCTTCTCTCCAAGAACTGTACTCATCCAGAGTGATCAAAAGGGCTGGCAAAATCACTCTGGACCCCTCACATCCAGCACACTCCCTCTTTGAACTGTTGCCATCTGGTCGACACTACAGAGCTCTGAGCACCAGAACGGCCAGACACAGGAACAGTTTCTTCCCTCAGGCAATCCATCTCATGAACACTTAACAATAACTGTGGAACACACACTATTTATACACTCATACACTTATTTATCTAACACTCATACTCATTCTACACCTCAAATTTGCACATAATATACCTGTACATACAAAACTGTCTATTGTAATATACCTGCACATACAATTGTCAATTTCTATATTTTTTATTCCTTATTCACTTGTTCTATTTTTTATTTTTTTATTTTTTATTTTTTTCTGTCACTGTCATTCTGTTACACTGTGGAAACTTCTGTCACGAAAACAAATTCCTCGTATGTGTAAACATACCTGGCAATAAAGCTCATTCTGATTCTGATTCTATATACCAGTTTCTTATTTATATTTACTATTATTATTATCTGATTATTGTTATGTCAGTAACACTTTAGAATAGGGAACACATATACACTATTAACTAAGAGTTTTCCCTGAAAAAAACTCCTAGTTTCCTGCTTATTAATAGTTAGTAAGTTAGTTGTTATGTTTAGGTATGGGGTGGATTAAGGGATCTAAAATACGGTCATGCAGAATAAGGCATTAATATATGCTTTATAAGTACTAATAAACAGCCAATATGCTAGTAATATGCATGCTAATAAGCAACTAATTAATAGCTAAAATTTGATCCTTAAAATAAAGTGTTACCGTTATGTCTTCATTGTAGTCTTTTATATTGTGCAGCACTTTCGTCAACTTTTTAAAAATATAAATACATATTGATTTGATTGATTGATTGAGTGCAGCTGTTCGGCCAAGAAAACCCATTCCATGCAGTTCCTGCTGAAATTTTGGTGCTGATATTAATGCCAGTGGAAGTTTGGTAGCTTTTACGCACCATTTGTCTCAGCATTTGTGACCTGCTCTGTGACTTTGCACGGCCGTGTGCTTCGTGGCTGAGTTGCTGCTGTTCCTAAATAATGTTTATGTAAATTCAGACTGCATGATGGGGTGATTTTTTTTATACCCCTGTTTCAATGTGTCTGATTGGTGTGCCCCAAAACTTTTGTACATATAGTGTATATTATACCTTCAGAGTACTTCTGTGCTCTCTTGTGGAAGAAGGATAAAAAAAACATTCTGCCATAAGTCTTTACAGCATAAATGCAAGAGAAATGCATAGAGCACTTGTTAAATAACAATAAATCAATTCAATTTTACTCAACAAATGTTATGTGGCCTCTGGTTTTAGTCAGATGTCTAGTGGAGATATGAACTGTAAGTTCTCACTACAATGATTGACTGAACAGAGTACTCTTACTAGTTTTTAAATTAATTTATTTGTTATTCATTATGTGTTAATTGTTTCCGACATTTATCAGAATATTCCCAAAGAATGGATCATCATTTGATAAAACCAAAAAGAGTTACAGTAAAGATACTTACTACATACAAGAAGCTTCGTAAATAGCATCCATACACACAAATAAGTTCACAAAAGCTACAGAAGCCAGAAACAAGTGACAGTGATTTTCATCAAGTCTCCAGTGTGAAAGTGATGCTAGTGCACTATTGTTCAAATACAAATAAAATGTTAAATAAAAGTATTCCAAGTATTGATCATAAAAAGGTATAAACAGTTAAAATATCTTAAACAGTGCTTTATAAAATATGTTTGAGCAATATCACAGAGTGCAGCTAATCCCAGTTTACTATACTATAATAACTATACTTACTATAATAACAGCCCAGTTGCAGGTGTGAGTGCTTTTAAATAAATGTGCAGTAAATAGGACATTAATGTAGAGTTACTTACATTTCAGACATAATTTGGATAGTTAGCCATAGCACTCTTGCAACGCTGCTTGTCTTATCAAATTAGAAGGCTGAAAACTAACTGAATAAAAATAAAATGCAACATAAATTAAAATTCCCAAGCAAATGCTCATATCCAGCACAGCAGGTTGAGCTTCATGCACACTGCAAAATCTACAACATAATAGTAACTAAACTGTACCATAACAGTCCTATTTTCTTAATTTCTAATTATCACTATAACAGCACACAATATTTCCATTTTTATCGTGTACACTGATAGGTTGAGAGTGCCTTGTGTGTAAAAAGGAAAATTATTTTGTTCTGCTCTAAATTTTTAAACGATGCATGATATATTATATTTCTCTAAATAACATTGAAGATATAAACTTTTTTTTTTTTAAACTAGAGATCCCACAAGGCCCCCAATCATGTCACTACTAAAATATACAGTTGTTTGATATTGCAGTAAATAGATTGTCATATTATAAAATGATCTCTTTTGGACATAAAGATTAAAAAATAAAGATCTCTTGATTGAAATTCTCTTGATTGAAATATCATAAATACAGTTACTTGCTGTTTACTTTAAATTATTATCATAGAAAATGGTTGTATTTTTCCAGTGTAAACTTTTAAATGTATTCATTCAAATTAAAACAGTACTCAAAAGTTTTGAGTATTGTGCAAGAAATAAATTACATCCAGCTACATGTAAAGGACATATATATATATATATATATATATATAATTGTGGGACAATGGCCATCTTGAGGCCATGGACATTTACGATTTTTGATAATTTACATTCTGATAGATATTGAAAGCTGCTGCGTTCTGGTAAATTAAGTCCACGTTGGTTCCAGTTCTTGATCGAATTATGTCATACGCACACTGGTGGAGGTAAACATACTGCTCCTGTTGTAGAAAACAGAAAGAAATAGTGTAAAAATATGAGTCTGAGTATGAAAACTTACTTTGGCAGTTTCTTTGTAGAACAAATGTCAACACCAATTTTTATGTAAATGTCATCTAAAAGAAATATTCTCAGTTTAGTATGAGTTAAGCTCAATCGACTATTTTTGTTTCATAATGTTAATTACGACAGATAATTTCGACTGACTCCTCCTTGTTCGTCCAAAAAAAAAAAAAAAAGGTCACAGTGTTTGGCTAAGTAATATATTTAAGTAGAATATCTGCATGATGTAAGCAATACGCTTGTTAACATACAATATGAAAAAAATAGCTTATTATTACTTTTCTATGTAACGTCTTATCCAATTTTACTCTGTCACTGTGACAGCTCATCATAAATCCTACAGTGATTATTAAAACAGCTTTACAGTTAAAATACTACAAAATACATTCAACAGAATAATTTGGGCTTTGGATCCATCACTGAGTACATTTACTACGATTTTAATACGATTAAGACAATACTCTGATTAAGAATCTACCATGTAAACAGAGATTTTTGATTACCTTAATCCGGCTAAAGTCATAATCGAAGTAAACAGAAATCGAATTAAGACGTGGAGTATTCCTATTTTAGTCGCATTACTGAAGTGCAGAATAGACATGTAAACACCATAATCACATTATTACTGTTGTGTAGGACTTTTCGCCGCATTTTGCGACAGGATACACACACGGCAGTGGTCAACCATTTGACGGCCAATAAAAGAACTTCAACACCGCCGTCGTCTGTATGCACGTACAAATAATTAACGGCATTTGAAGCTTTCATAAAATTAAATATGAAACACCCAAAACTGTACATGTCATCATCACGAATATGAACTATATGTTTATGTGTGAAATTTTGGAGGGGACGTCGGATGGCGTCATGTGGGGACGTAATGACGTGTGCCATTAATCGAACTATGTACTATAACATGTAAAACGGTAACATGAAAGGAATATTCTAAAAGCAACTCATGTAAACACCATAATCATAATATTGGCTTATTTAGAATAAGGTAAATAATTAGATTACTGATGTCCGTGTAAACGCAGTCATTGGTCCAGATCAGGGGTGTCAAACTCAGTCCCTGGAGGGCCACAGCCCTGCAGAGTTTAACTCCAACCCTAATTAAACACACCTGATCCAGCTAATCAGGTACTTCAGGCTTTTTTGAAAATTAGATGGGTATGTGTGTTGGAGCAAGGCTGGAACTAAACTCTGCAGGGCTACTGGCCCTCCAGGAACTGAGTTCGACACCCCTGGTCCAGATGGACCATAAACAAATTCTAAGCTATCTAATCCTGACCCACCCCCAACCACAAATAAAGAATGGTTCTTCAGCTTCTCAAACTTTGACAGATGCATGTTCTGAAACTTCAGCTCCATTGCCGTTCCCCTCACCATCTGAAGCGGCTCAATCCTTCCAGCAACTAAAGAAGGCATTCACATCAACACCCATCATCACCCACCCTGGTTGCCCTTGTTCTTCTCTAGATTCCATTTTAGTGATTCTCCAGGGTCTGCTCCAGAATCTATTGTTCTAGAATAAGTGTAATAATCATTGCACTCATCTCTGGGCTCTGTGCATCCAGGGACAACCCAAACTTGTATGCCCTTCTGCAACAAAGCACTGGTGGTGCCAACTTGGAATGTGTCCAGATGATGCATGATGTCCAGAGCTTTGTCCACTTATGCCCAGGTTGTGCCATGTCCGAAGTACCTCACAGCCTTCCAGCTGGAAAGCTCCTTCCACTGCCTACACTTCATCATCTATGGTCACATCTAGGGGTGGACTTCACAACCAACGTTCCTTCCTCAGTAGTCAAACCTGTGTCCTGGTGGCTACTGACTGTTTCTCTAAGACCTGCCACCTGTTTTTTTTAAAGGGGTTACCAAAATCATTTGAGACTGCACAAATACTGTTCCATCATGTCTTCTGGAACTACATAGTCCACAATTGTGGTCCACAAGTCCACAATTCATATGCAGTCTGGAAGCTTTCTTCAAGCTGCTGGGCAGTTTTTCTTCAGGCTATCATACCTAATCCCCTGTTTCCTCAGAATTTACAGCCATCAACATCAACAGCTCTAGAGTCACTTCCTATTTTAATGATCTAAGCACATGGTCTGAAGTGCATGGAATAATCTAGAGAAGAACAAGGGCAACCAGGTCTGGTGAAGGTTTAGCATCACAGAGGGATTCCAGGTTGCACCATTATGGAATTTCTCTTAATGAGTCATGGGTGTGTTTTGGGTATAATGTGCAATAAACCAATCAGAGTCTCATCTCCCATTCCCTTTAAAAGCCAGTTGCACTTGCACCATTGTGGATTCGCTATTTACATGGCAGAATTTGCAAGAGCAAAGATTGAACAATTCTCCAGAGAGGAAACAGATCTTCTTGTGTGCGAGGTTAAAGCACACGAGCAGATCATCTATGGGACAAGCCGGATTCCACCAAAGCACCCTGAGGTGAAGCAGGCGTGGGATGACTAATTTCATTTATCATTACTGCAAATAGGTAATTCTGATACATGCAATGACTATCCATTATGACATGTAAGCATTTTATCTTTATGTACACAATAATAATCTTTTACATTGTAATCTTTTCATTTTTAATATTTGGCACGTTAACGCTACGTCTCCCTGTGTGTATAATAAGCAGAGTATACACGCATTGTGCACCCACCTATAGGCGCATATTACTAACGCGCCCTTTAAATAAACAATACTAAAAAATACTGCGCCATTGACAATGGCGTAATCGTTTTCAGTTGCTTTAAAATAGCAACGCACCAACAATGTGCCTGAACACACCTCATTTTCAGACCAGCACACCCATAGGCAAACAGATGGGTGCAAGTGCATTTGCTCTTTAAACAATGTGGCACTGGACATGAAAATGATAACTGCATCGGGCTAAAAATAGCAAAAAAACACTTGCGTCGTGCCTGGCATCGCATTGCGTCTAGTGTATGATGAGGCCCTCTGTCTTCCATGCAGAAAGTAGTTTCCTCAATACAATGGCCCATATCTGTGGACCATCCCGGACCAACGCTGTAGGTCACTCAAGGTGACATTCTGGACCATCCCTACTCACCATGTTCCACTACAATCATCCCAACCATCCAGCTCCTCAGGGACATGGTCAACCAGACCGCCCCCTCTCCACTCTGGTCATCAAGGACTCCATATATACTCATCACATACCCTCATTGTCTAGTCTTACAGTACATAGAGGACTCTCTGATTGCACTACCCTTCAGTAGTGTTCTCTTCATGACTCCCTCATGGTTCCTCTGTGTGTACCATCATTACCAACTGCATTATCATTGTGTCATCTTCTACATCTGTGTCTGATTTCTACTGCCATTCACCTGTTGTTTACCCATGTGTTCAATAAAGAATCATCTGGCTCAGTCTGCTTTCTTACAGTAAGTGCTTTTACAAAATTATAAGCCTCGCATTTCTGCTCTAAAAGCTGGCTGCACTTACTTTCATTTTAAAAGGAGGTACAAGCTTAACTTGTACTGATCCCCAGAAAATCTTACCTCAGTCTGCACCATGAGAGGCCTGTGCATGCGCATATCATTAACAATTCCGTAGATGTCCACCATGCTGTCTCTTTCAATCTGGAAGATCAGGTGGTCAATGGCAGTGAAGGTCCCTGTTCTTCCCACACCGGCACTAAAAAAGTGTGAAAGTCAAATAATAAAATAAAAGTTTAAACTAACAAATGGCAAATTTGATGTTTGCATTGTAATGTAAATTTGTGAATGCTTGTTAATAGGAACTTACCTGCAATGCACCACAGTTGGAGAGTGGCGCGAGTACTGGTCCATGTGTTCTCTGACCAGGTGTCTGAAGTCAATGAGGACTTCAGTGGTCTGTGGAACTCCATGATCCGGCCACGCCGTGAAGTGGAACTGACGTACGTAGCGAGTTTCTGCTGTTTTCACCTACAGAATTATCCATAATATTATTGTAAAATATTACAATAAAATATTTAAAAACAACAACAACAACAAAATCCACTCCTATATACTACTGAAGGAATAAATGGAGATATCAGGTACAGGAAGTGTTGCTTTACATTTTTGATTCTGAAGTCTCTTATGATCCAACTCTCCAGTTCTATCTCTGAGGTGGTTGTCACAGAGATGTTTTGATAATGATTAGTCCCTGATGGCCAGTACTTCTCACATTTCACCTGGAGAAAATGACAGAGTGCAGGTTATCTTTTCTCTGAGTATACATTTTCACATTTGACCACTTTTCAATGTGACTAATAATATGTGACATATTATTAGTCATAGTCATGGTCGGTGGTGATAGCCCTCATAGGCAGCACGCCAACATTCAGTGCCATTGTGCTTTGGGCGTCCAGAGTTCGAGTCCTGAGATGGGGACCTTTTCTGATCCATTCTTCTATCTCTCCCCCACGTTGCTTCCTGTCTAACTTCTGTCCTATCGAAATAAAGGCATAAAAATGCCAAATAATAATATTTCACAATGAAAACTTACTCGTCCCATCTCGTTGCATTTGGTCAGCATCACTATGGTGAAGACATTCTTCTCCCAGACCATTCTCCAGAATTCATTAACTGTGACGGGCAGTGGACCCTGAGCTGCTATAAACTCTTTTCTTGAATTATAGCCCTGTTAAAAAAAAAATAAAGAACAAAAGAAGAGTGAAAAACATGCTTAGACATAACCAATAAAAAAAACGCTTCCGAAATTTCCACTTCTCTTTATATGCTTACTGGGATGTAGTTGGCATTGATATAGTCATCAAAGGGACTGCCACACATTGATAACTTCACTCTTGAAGCATCATCTGTTGAAGGCAAACATACAATTAGTATCAGAAAGTAGTTATTAATTAAGAACTCAAAATTATGCATCTGATTTTATGTAAGGATATAAGGTTACATTGTAGCATCATCAGTGTTGGGAAGTAACTATTTACATGTACCTAAATTACAAAATTTAATTGGGTTCTTGACGTGACATGGCATTTTCACTGTCCCACAAGACAAAAATGAATATAATTAATATTGTCGTTATTTAAAATTCAGTAAACATGGACCTGTTGTTCCCTTTCAGTCAGTCACTTTTGATGTCACGTCGGTGATTGATGAAATTGGGATCTCACTAGAGAGGCCAATCCACTTCGAGTGTAAACTAAATGAGCCAATGCACATTGGCATGCGATTATTGCATCCAGCTGCCGCTGATCACAGCGTGAGTATAAGAGGCAGCAGGTGCATCGCATTCATTCATTCTTTCGCTTTGGAGCCAAGCGGTAGTGCATCACTACTGCTCTCTACTTCGGGTTGCAAGCAGAGAGACAAGCGAGAATGGGCGTTATGGCACGGCAGTGGTGGTCACGGTCGCACGGCGAGAACAGAAATCATCTTCGTGCAGACAGCCACACCAGGAGTGTACGGTGGCTAGCTCCCCTGCGTGCTTAAGCACAAAAATAGCATTTCTCTAAAAGAGCAATGTGGGTGATCGCGTCTTTTTAAAGATGTCTTATCACCCGTGCGTTTCTGGGTGCGGTTGCTATCTGGCACCTCGGGACGGTCACGATCGCTGTCTCACGTGTCTGGCCATTGAGCATGCTGAGCAAGCGTTCGTGGATGGTGCATGTTTCCCTTGTGGGGACATGACCATCTCGGAGTTGCATGAAAGACTCCGTTATGTCAAACGTGGTGGGGTCCCTCTGCCGCGATCCAGTGTTCGTCTCGACAATTGGGGTGGCGCTGTGTCCGGCGGAGTCAGAGGTGATTTGAGGATCACAGTGACGGCTTCCCCAGAGGGAGTTCGTCACCCCTCAAGCACTCCGCAGCCGGTGCAGCGGCCGGAGGGACATGTTGGCCCCTCTACAATGTGGAGGAAGCCGGCCGTTTCCTTCAGTTCGCCCCCTCGAGACCAGATATAAATCGCTGCATTGGAGGGCTCTCTCTCTCTCTCTGGGGATGACGACTCGGCTGCGTTGCCCCTTCAGGTGTGACAGCATTGTCCGAGCCAGACCCAGAGATGACGGCTATGCTTTCCCGGGCCACCAAGGACGTCGGGCTCGTGTGGAATCCTCCACCACGTCCCGATCCTTTGAGGCTGGATGAGCGGTTTCTCGGTGGAGGTCGCGCTGGTTCTCAGCGCCCCCCTCCAGTGCCATTCATCCCGGAGGCGCAGGAGGAGCTCACAAGATCGTGGAAGGCACCTTTTACTGCCTGAAACAAATCTTGTAGCTCCTTCGCTCTCACCACCCTCAATGGTGGAGCCGCTTTGGGGTACACGGGCATTCCCTCGGTAGTCTGGGTTTTACAGCCCTTACTTCATTGTGCCCAATAAAAGTGGTGGGCAGCCCTTGTTCCTTTGAGAGAACGGGGGGTGCACATTTTCAGCTATCTCGACAAATGGCTCATACTCGCACTGTCTCGCGATCAGTTGTGCACACACAGGGACCTGGTGCTCAGACACCTCAGCCCGTTGGGTCTTCGGGTCAACTGAGACAAGAGCAAACTTGTGCCAATGCAGAAGATCTCTTTTCTCGGCATGGAGTTGGATTCGGTCAGCCAGACAGCACGCCTCACTCAGGAACGTGCTCAGTTGGTGCTGAACTGCCTCAAGACTTTATCAGGCAGGACGACGATCCCACTGAAATTCTTTCAGAGACTCCTGGGGCATATGGCTGCAGCTGCGGTGGTAGTTCCGCTCGGTCTGCTCCATATGAGACTGCTTCAGCATTGGCTCCATGACCGAGTACCGAGGTGGGCGTGGCGACGCGGTACTCACTAGGTTCAGATTACACCGGCCTGCTGCAGAACCTTCAGCCTGTGGTCAGATCCCTCGTTTCTTCGGGCAGGAGTGCCCCTGAAACAGGTATCCAGGCATGCTGTGGTATTCACGGATGCCTCGGCCACCTGCTGGGGGGCCACATACAACGGGCACGCAGTCTCAGGGTTTTCACGGGTCCCCAACTGCGTTGGCATATTAATTGCCTCGAGTTGCTAGCAGTACGCCTTGCCCTGAACCGCCTCAGAGGGCGCCTTCGGGGCAGCCGACGAGCTGTCTCGAGCAGCACTTCCAGGAGAGTGGAGACTCCACCCCCAGGCGGTTCAGCTGATCTGAAGACGGTTTGGAGTTGCTCAGGTAGACCTGTTTGCATCTCCAGAAACCACCCACTGCCAGTGGTTCTACTCCCTAACCGAGGCAATTCTCGGTACGGACGCACTGGCACACAGCTGGCCCCCAAATGTGTATTTCCACGGTACAATTACTAGGGCCGTGTTTCCCCTGGCAGACCACGTTCAGCCATCTCTAAATGAAGCAGCCTTGAGCCATCTCAGAGACTTCCATGTGCAGTAGGGCCCCTCGGGGTTACTCCACGTGAGTAAATGTCACTTAACCCCCTCTGGGAGGAGGTGACTCTACAGTGTGTCCTCTTCCAAATGGAAGGGCACGCTTTCCCAGTGTTATCCAAGTCCTACTGTTGGGTTGCGAGGAACAACTGTAGTTGACCTTCTCTGTGTAGAGCCCGGTCCTATCGTCTGCCTTATAGGAAGGATCAGGAGGCCTACACAGGAGGGGGCAGCACCTGTGGCGTGTTGGTAGGGATCCCAATTCTTCGATCATCACCGAAGTGACGTCGAGAGTGACTGACTGAAAGGGAACGTCTCGGTTTCGTATGTAACCCTCGTTCCCTGAAGGAGGGAACGGAGATGTCGCGTTCCATCGCCACAGTTGCTGTACCACCGCTGAGCTGCCGGGTCACCGGCAAATGCGGTGCACCTGCTGCCTCTTATACTCACGCTGTGATCAGCGGCAGCTGGATGCAATAATCGCATGCCAATGTGCATTGGCTAGTTTAGTTTACACTCGTAGTGGATTGGTTTCTCTGGCGAGATCCCAATTCGTCGGTCATCACCGACTTTTGTCCTATGGTTTAACTTTTATAAATGAAAAAGAAAAGCATAAAAATGTTAATAAACACCTCCGGCATAATTGTACAAGTGTCTATTTTAGTAAATGGCAATAATTTCTTTCATCCATACATTTCTGAAAACATAGGAACTTGATGATGACATGCACATGGTAAATTTTTGTCTCATAATCGTGCAAATATTTAACTTTTTTGGAACCACTACATGTTAAACTACATAATTATGGAAAATTCTGCAAATGTGTCTTGCTTACCGCTAACGACAGGTTAGCTCGGAATAGCAAGATCATTAATTGACAGAATAAGGCTGAAACGTCCTTTGGTGTGACAGATAGGCCTGTACAGTCACACCAGATGACAAGGTCTCTTTAAAAATAATTTTAAATAATTAAATAAGATTTGTTTAACTCCTTTTTATTATTTTTTGATCATTTTCAGTGTACTTAAATGCAATAATTACATTCATTTAACAATTTTCTGATGTTTTTACAGAAAACTTGTACTGTTATAAAGTGTCATGAAAATAAGTATAAAATGTGATGCTTTGTTTTTGAGACAGAGAGAACTGGGGGAGAGAAATTAGTGGAAGAGTAATATAGACAGAAAATTAACAGGGATCCACACAGAAGGGAGGAGATCCTAAGAGAATGATCCAGAAAGTAAATACAATAAAAATTATGCCTTAAAAAGAGTAGCCATATAGTAAAAAAAATTTTTTAATTCACATCTTAATGAATATAGTTTGAATATCAATTGTATTTAGAAATTTAGAAAAGTAATCAAAAAGTAATCCAATGTTATCAGTTACATTACTTTAATAAAGTAATTGAAACAGTTACACTACTTATTACATTTTAAATAGGGTAACTTGTAATCTGTAACCTATTACATTTCCAAAATAACCTTCCCAACACTAAGCATCATACCAATCATGTTCTGTTATACTCCAAGCCCTTTTTTAAAATTTTGATCATTTCTGTCACATATTGTCTGTATACATTTCCTGTTCATTCATTTCTTATTTTTCTTGATTTCTGATTGTTATTACCTGTGTCTAGTTTAGATAATCATAATCCTGAGTCTACATTGAATGTATTCTCTGTTCTTCATTTTTGTTTATTTCTTTAAACCTACAGCATGCAACTTTTGGCCCTCTAGCGGTTAACAAAATAAACTATGCATCTTGCAGGAGAACATTATTTTGGTTGTGCTTTGGCTCTGCACCTCAGGAAATTAACTGAAAATGTATCTGACTTTCTGCAATGTGACTTCAGTGTGAATAGTCTGGGTACAATCTATCAGTCAGCTAGAGATTGAAGCCTGTGATTGGGGAAAACTCATGCCACCTTTTAGTACAACATGCAACAGTCAGTCTACTCACAAGGTAGCACATTGCTGTAACGGTTCTTCGGCTTGTTTTCAATAGCCAGGGCAGTGTTTTTGGACTGTGCCGTTCCAACTGTTTTCAACTCCTGCAACAACACAGCACTTCTTTAGATCTAGATTTTGAAAACACTAATTTCTAAATTAATTTCTGTGACAAGTCCAGAGTAAAACTGTTTGATAATATATTGTCATAGGAAGAAGTGTGTAAATTAAAAAAAAATACATATTTGTGTTTCTCATGTGTACCTCATACTCTTCAGCAAAACCACAGTTGGAATCTGCATGTTTCTGCTTAAAGTACTCTTCATAATCCTCTATTCTCAAAGCAACATTACTGTGTACCATAAAAAAACACGTAAAAAAAATATACAATAAAGTGTAAAATAATAATGTTTCAACATTAAAAATGAATAGATTAATAATGAAACAGTTACTTACATTTTATTGCTGGAAATAGAAGAAAAAATTAATGCATTAACAATTTTAAGTTTTGTCAAAGAAAATTTTTTACTGTAAACATCTCAAACAATGTTACCTAATGGTGTGTACAGGGATGTCGGGACATTGTTTTTTGGTTTGTCTGTAATAGAGAGTAATAAAGAAATGTTACTAAAATGAATCTGAAAGACTTTTGTATCTTAAAATATATCCAGTATTTACTTCTCTGATGACAATGGCAACTCACCTTCTTGAATAGAAGAAGAGAATGAGAGTGATGATGAAGAGAAAACAGATCACTGCCAACACTACGCCAACAATCAGTGGAGTATGAGACTCAGGGGAATCTACATGAGAATTATTACATAATATAATTAAACATGTTTTTTTATTAATAAAACCTTGTTCATTATATTATCCGGATCACTTAATGAAAAGATGATACACTAAGAGGCAATAGATTATCCTTAAAAAACACATTATGGGTATTATGTAATTTTCTGATGGCGTTAGTAACATTGAGAGTCACAACATTATATTAAAAGTTACTTTGGGAGTTTTGTACAAGATTTGCACAAAGGGGAAGAGGACAGATATTTGATCATTTTACATACCGGTAAATTGTGAAATGCAGACAGTGTTTCCTTCTGTTGATTGATCTGCTGCCACAGCAGTGATGCAGAATGTGTAACTGACTCCAGCAGTCAGACCACTGATGTGATAGGAAGTGTTAGTAGTTGTTACATACTTCCTTTTCTCACTCCATTGAATTCTAAAAAAATCTCTATTTCCAGCTGGTTCATTCCATGTCAGATACACTGAAGATTGTGTGACATCAGTCACTCTGAGTTTCTTGATCACATCTGGCTCTGTGTGGGGAAAAGAAAAATAAATGAGTTGGTGAAAGTGGGAATTGTAATTATACAATTACATGGCACATGTAGTTACACCAGAATTTGTGAGAATCAAACGTACACTGTACAATTTTCCGTCCTAAAATAAGATGCTGACAAAGCTGAGGATTAATAGGTTATGACAATAAAAACATAGTCAATGTGTACAACTAAGAACATGCAATAACACTTTAGTTTAGGGACGAATTCTCATGTTTAAGTAGTTACTTATTAACATGCATATTACTAGCATATTGGCTGTTTATTAGTGCACATATTAAAGCCTTATTCTTCATGACCACATTTTGGATCATTTAATCCTACCCCAGACCTAAACTTAACAACTACCTTAATAACTCTTAGTAAGCAGCAAATTAGAGGAGTTTATTGAGGCAAAAGTCGTAGTTAATGGTGGGAATTGGTCCCTAAAGTGTGACCGAACACATATGTTTTAGGTTCCTCACATTAAAACAAGTAGCTACTAATAAAATTATATTAGTAGAAAAAATTTGGGTCAGTTTGTTTAAACAGTCTATTTAGCAAAGAACAGATACTTTATCATTATACATACTGGTATAGTTTGAGATGCAGACAGTTTCTCCTTCTGTTGAATTGTCGGCTGCCACAGCTGTGATGATAAATGTGTAACTGACTCCAGCAGTCAGACCAGTGATGTGATAGGAAGTGTTAGTAGTTGTTACATACTTCCTTTTCTCACTCCATTGAATTCTAAAAAAATCTCTATTTCCAGCTGGTTCATTCCATGTCAGAGACACTGAAGATTTTGTGACATCAGTCACTCTGAGTTTCTTGATCACATCTGGCTCTGTGTGGGGAAAAGAAAAATAAATGAGTTGGTGAAAGTGGGAATTGTAATTATACAATTACATGGCACATGTAGTTCCACCAGAATTTGTGAGAATCAAACGTACACTGTACAATTTTCCGTGCTAAAATAAGATGCCGACAAAGCTGAGGATTAATAGGTTATGACAATAAAAACATAGTCAATGTGTACAACTAAGAACATGCAATAACACTTTAGTTTAGGGACGAATTCTCATGTTTAAGTAGTTACTTATTAACATGCATATTACTAGCATATTGGCTGTTTATTAGTGCACATATTAAAGCCTTATTCTTCATGACCACATTTTGGATCATTTAATCCTACCCCAGACCTAAACTTAACAACTACCTTAATAACTCTTAGTAAGCAGCAAATTAGAGGAGTTTATTGAGGCAAAAGTCGTAGTTAATGGTGGGAATTGGTCCCTAAAGTGTGACCGAACACATATGTTTTAGGTTCCTCACATTAAAACAAGTAGCTACTAATAAAATTATATTAGTAGAAAAAATTTGGGTCAGTTTGTTTAAACAGTCTATTTAGCAAAGAACAGATACTTTATCATTATACATACTGGTATAGTTTGAGATGCAGACAGTTTCTCCTTCTGTTGAATTGTCGGCTGCCACAGCTGTGATGATAAATGTGTAATTGACTCCAGCAGTCAGACCAGTGATGTTATACCATGTGTTATTGGTTATTGTATGGTTGGATGTTTTACCATCACTCCAATTAAGGTTAAAGAAAGATCTACTTCCAACTGTTTCATTCCATTTTAGAAACACAGATGATGTTGTGATTTCGGTAATTTTGAGAATCCTGATCACACCTGGCTCTGTGTGGGGAGAGAAGAGCAATTCATACATGTTGATGAAAGGGGAATTAAATAAAGTATGACTGTAAATATGAGTAAGTATGAGTTGTGCCATTATGAATTGATAAAACAATTGTAATAAGGCCAGAACTCAGTGAGAAGTTGCTGTACAGTGTTCTGCTCAATGCAAGTAAATATGAGCTGTTTTCAAGCATCTCTCAGATTAAACATCTAATCAGAGCTCTTACTGGTATACAGTGAAATCTGATTGGCTCTTCCCTCGGTCAAATGATCAGCTGCAACTGCAAACACTCTGAATGTGTACTGTGCTCCAGGAATCAGATCATTTATATTGATGGAGGTGTTTTCAGTGATCACATTCTTATCTTCATATTCTACACGATAACGGGAGCTTTGACCATTCGGTTTAGTCCAGTTTAAGAAGACAGAGGATGTTGTAATATCATCAGCTGTGAGGTTCATTATAACGTCAGGCTCTGTGAGTGAAAAATAACAGATATTTGGGAATTAAAATGTGAATGCTGAAATCCTAATGTAGTGAAGATGTATATATATTTGAAAGGAATCAGTCAATAATATGAGTATCTGGCTAGAAAAATCAGGAAACATTTAGTTGGAAAACATACTAGTATATTTTGAGGTAACCACTGATTCTCCTTCTGTTGACTGATCTGCTGCAACAGCTGTGATGATAAATGTGTAACTGACTCCAGCAGTCAGATCAGTGATGTGATAAGAAGTGTTACTAGTTGTTGAACTTCCGTTTGTTTTATCACCCGTCCACTGAATTTTAAAGAAAGATCTATTTCCAACTGGTTCTTCCCATGTCAGAAACACAGATGATGGTGTGATTTCAGACACTGTTAGATTTATGATCATATTTGGCTCTGTTTGGGGAGAGAAGAGCATTTTAATTTTTTTTACAATCAGAACAAAAGTGAAATACATACATATGGGGGAGATGCCGACTGGTGGGACAGATTAACTAACAATTGACTAAAAAGGGGGAAGGCATTATTCTTATAACATTTATAACATATTTTATAGTTTTACATATAGTCACTACTATATAGTAAGAAAATTTGATTTTATAATTCTACATACTTGTGAATTGTGAGATGCAGACAGTTTCTCCTTCTGTTGATTGATCTGCTGCCACAGCAGTGATGCAGAATGTGTAACTGACTCCAGCAGTCAGACCACTGATGTGATAGGAAGTGTTAGTAGTAGTTTTATTTGTTTTATCATCAGTCCGGTGAAGTTTAAAGAAAGATCTATATCCGAATGGTTCCTCCCATCTCAGAAACACAGATGATGTTGTGATATTGTTCACGCTGAGGTTCCTGATCACATCTGGTTCTGTGTGGGGAGAGAAGGGCAAGTCATAATTGATGATTTGAAAAAACCATCACACAAGACACAAGCAAAGTAGAAATACATAAAGGATGAAACGTGAACAGGTGGGCCAAAAAACGAACAATAGACTGACAAGGGGGAAGGCAGTATTTTGTTTTGGAATCTTTAACGTGAGCTTTGTATGTAGATTCACAAATGTGAGTTTTTCTTTTCTTTTCTGTTTTTAACAATCAGGACACAAGTGAAAAATAAATACACATGGGGGAAATGTGAATCATTCTTATAACATACTCCGTAGCACAAAACAGACATTTTGTAGTTTTACATAGTTATTACTATATTGCAAGAAATAGATTTTTTTAATTCTACATACTGGTATAGTTTGAGATGCAGACAGTTTCTCCTTCTGTTGATTGATCTGCTGCCACAGCAGTGATGCAGAATGTGTAACTGACTCCAGCAGTCAGACCAGTGATGTGATAGGAAGTGTGAGTAGTAGTTTTATTTGTTTTATCATCAGTTCGGTGAAGTTTAAAGAAAGATCTATTTCCAACTGGTTCATCCCATCTCAGAAACACAGATGATGTTGTGATATTGTTCACTCTGAGGTTCCTGATCACATCTGGTTCTGTGTGGGGAGAGAAGGGCAAGTCATAATTGATGATTTGAAAAAAGCATCACACAAGACACAAGCAAAGTAGAAATACATAAAGGATGAAACGTGAACTGGTGGGCCAAATAACGAACAATAGACTGACAAATGTTAAAGCAGTGTTTTGATTTTTAATCTTTAATATGAGCTTTGTATGAAGATTCACAAATGTTGTGTTTTTTTTGTTTCTTTTCTTTTCTTTTTTTTAACAATCAGAACACAAGTGAAATATAAATACATACAATGGGGAAATATGAATAATTCTTATACTTTGTAGCACAAAACAGACATTTTATAGTTTTACATACTGGTATAGTTTGAGATGCAGACAGTTTCTCCTTCTGTTGATTGATCTGCTGCCACAGCAGTGATGCAGAATGTGTAACTGACTCCAGCAGTCAGACCAGTGATGTGATAGGAAGTGTTAGTAGTAGTTTTATTTGTTTTATCATCAGTTCGGTGAAGTTTAAAGAAAGATCTATTTCCAACTGGTTTATCCCATGTCAGAAACACAGATGATGTTGTGATATTGTTCACGCTGAGATTCCTGATCACATCTGGTTCTGTGTGGGGAGAGAAGGGCAAGTCATAATTGATGATTTGAAAAAACCATCACACAAGACACAAGCAAAGTAGAAATACATAAAGGATGAAACGTGAACTGGTGGGCCAAATAACGAACAATAGACTGACAAATGTTAAAGCAGTGTTTTGATTTTTAATCTTTAATATGAGCTTTGTATGAAGATTCACAAATGTTGTGTTTTTTTTGTTTCTTTTCTTTTCTTTTTTTTAACAATCAGAACACAAGTGAAATATAAATACATACAATGGGGAAATATGAATAATTCTTATACTTTGTAGCACAAAACAGACATTTTATAGTTTCACATAGTTACTACTACTGTACATAGCAAGAAAGTTAGATTTTTTATTCTTTATTCACATACTTGTGAATTGTGAGATGCAGACAGTTTCTCCTTCTGTTGATTGATCTGCTGCCACAGCAGTGATGCAGAATGTGTAATTGACTCCAGCAGTCAGACCACTGATGTGATAGGAAGTGTTAGTAGTAGTTTTATTTGTTTTATCATCAGTCCGGTGAACTTTAAAGAAAGATCTATTTCCAACTGGTTTATCCCATGTCAGAAACACAGATGATGTTGTGAAATTGGTCACTCTGAGATTCCTGATCACATCTGGCTCTGTGTTTAGGAGAAAGAAGCAACACTGTAAAAAATGACAGTGAATTTAACGGTAAAAGACTGTAAAAATGCTACAATAAAAACCTGTTAAATGGTTAACGGTAAGTTTCCCTTCTATATATGGTGAAAAACTGTATTGGACTGTACATGTAAATTTTACGGTAGTATACTGTTTTTGGAAGTGAAAAGATTTAATAATTTACAGTGAATAACCGTAAATTGACATTCCAAATTTGATGTTTTTTTTGTTGTTGTTGAGATAACTATGTTTCTTCTTAGTTATTTTCTTATCAGTTTTGTACATTAGGGTTGTATGTTACATCTAATGTTGTTCAATTAATATTTATTGCATTATTTCAGTTTCATGTGTGTTACCATGATGGTTTTTAGTGTTTGTGTGAATGACACTGTGCACCTTCTATACATGTTAATATTTAAAAGCTGCTTGTGATATGCTTTGGTTTATCATGTGATTTTCTCATGACCACCTGCTTTTGGTGCAGTGTATTACAAAGATACAAAACAGATTTCAGTACTTCAGTGGGTTGGTATACTAACATTATATCAGTTAATTAAATTACGTTATTTAACTGTAAATTTAAGTTATAACCGTAAAACCTAAAACGCTGCTACCATATTTTTACAGTAAAATTCTGGCAACCACAGCTGCCGTTTTTTTATCGTAAATTTTACAGATTTTTTTTTTTTCAGTGAAGTCATAATTGATGATTTGAAAAAACCACAAGACACAAGCAAAGTAGAAACACTTAAAGGATGAAACGTGAACTGGTGGGCCAAATTAACGAACAATAGACTGACAAGGGGGAAGGCAGTATTTTAACTACTACTTTAACGTGAGCTTTGTATGGAGATTCACAGATGTCAAGTTTTTCTTTTTTCTTCTTTTCTTTTTTTCTGTTTTTAACAATCAGGATACAAGTGAAATATAAATAGACAGAGGAGTAAATGTGAATCATTCTTATAGCATACTTTGTAGCACAAAACAGACATTTTATAGTTTTACATGGTTACTACTATATAGCAAGAAATAATTTTTTTATTCTACATACTAGTGAATTGTGAGATACAGACAGTTTCTCCTTCTGTTGATTGATCTGCTGTCACAGCAGTGATGCAGAATGTGTAATTGACTCCAGCAGTCAGACCAGTGATGTGATAGGAAGTATTAGTAGTTGCATCTGTTTTATCATCAGCCCATTGAACTATAAAGAAAGATCTATTTCCAACTGGTTCATCCCAACTCAGAAACACAGATGATGTTGTGATATTGTTCACTCTGAGATTCCTGATCACATCTGGTTCTGTGTGGGGAGAGAAGGGCAAGTCATAATTGATGATTTGAAAAAAACATCACACAAGACACAAGCAAAGAAGAAATACATAAAGGATGAAACATGAACTGGTGGGCCAAATTAACGAACAATAGACTGGCAGGGGTAAGGCAGTTCTTTTATATTTATTGTTTAACATAAGCTTTGAATGATATTTCTACTAAAAAGAAAAAAACAGCATAAAAGAGTGCTTGAAATGGGAATAACTCTAGTGCTTTTACAAATTACTTGAAAATAAATATTGGTGGGTCAGAAATCAATATAATGTTTATTCCTATTTTGAGTTAAGAGACTCATGATTTTCAGGTTTTCTCATTCTGTTGATCCCGGTGTCCACTTCCATGTATTTTTGTACCTGCTTTGTTGGTTTCTAGGTTTCTAAGAATGTTCTCATTTGTTTGTTACTAATTTCTTAATTGATTAGCCCTGCCTGTTCCTTGTTTCCCCCCCTCATTTGCCCTTTGTATTTATACACCCAGTTTTGTTCATTTCTTTGTCTTTTCTCATTTTTGGATTATTAGATGTCTAGTATGAAACATGTACTTTATAAGTTTGCATACTGGTAAATTGTGAAATGCAGACAGTTTCTCCTTCTGTTGATTGATCTGCTGCCACAGCAGTGATGCAGAATGTGTAATTGACTCCAGCAGTCAGACCACTGATGTGATAGGAAGTATTAGTAGTTGCATCTGTTTTATCATCCGCCCATTGAAGTTTAAAGAAAGATCTATTTCCAACTGGTTCATCCCATGTCAGAAACACAGATGATGTTGTGATTTTAGACACAAGATTCTTGATCACATTTGGCTCTGTGTACAGGAGAGAAGAGCAATTCACAAATGTCAATTTCTTTTATTTTATTTTTCTTAACAATCAGGACACAAGTGAAATATAAAATACATATGGGGGAAACAAATGAATAACAGACTAAAAAAGGTGAAAGGCATAATTCTGATAATGTACTATGTAGCACAAAACAGATATTTTATAGTTTTACATACTGGTATAGTTTGAGATGCAGACAGTTTCTCCTTCTGTTGATTGATCTGCTGCCACAGCAGTGATGCAGAATGTGTAACTGACTCCAGCAGTCAGACCAGTGATGTGATAGGAAGTGTTATTAGTTTCTATTGCATTTCTGTTCAAGTCCAAATTCTCGTCAGTCCAGTTAAGTTTAAAGAAAGATCTATTTCCAAATGGTTCAGCCCATGTCAGAAACATGGATGATGTTGTGATTTTAGACACTGTAAAATTCCTGATTACATCTGGCTCTGTGAGGGGAGAGAAGGTCAAGTCATAAATGTTAATCTAAAAATAAAACAAAAACACAAAGGACACAAAGTATAAACATATAGGAGGAAAGGTGAACTGGTGGGCTAAATCAGTAAGTAATAGATTGATGTTTACACTGTAACTTGAGTACATAGCTTTACATTGCTTTTACAAATTACTAGAAAAAATATTGGTGGGTCAGACAATTAATGTAAAGGGGTCATATGATGATGCTAAAAATAACATTATTTGGTGTATTTGGTGTAATGCAATGTATTTACACAGTTCAAGGTTCAAAAACACACTATTTTCTGCATACTGTACATTACTGTTGCCCCTCTGTGCCACTCCTTTCTGAAATGCATCGATTTTTACAAAGCTCATCGTTCTGAAAAGCGCGGTGTGCTCTGATTGGCAAGCTATCCAGTGCGTTGTGATTGGCCGAATACCTTAAGTGTGTGACGGAAATGTTACGCCCCTTACCATTTTAGGAAACACAGCATCTCCACAACATGGTGGCGGCGGCAACAATACTACAGCAAAAGTAAAAAGTTATGCCTTCTTTCTTTGCGTAAACATCTGGGCGGTGTCATGCAAATCTTCCAACACAGGGACGTAGATTTGTGGGGGCGTGTTTGAGGCGTTTTAGGAAGTCAACTTTTATAAAGAATATCTCTTTGGGTTTGAAACTTTAGTCTTTGCAACTTTAAGGATCTTACATATGCACAAACAGCTTGTAACACTCCAAAGACAAAAGAAAACTTGAAATCGCATCATATGACCCCCTTAAACTATATATAAAAGACCAGATATTTTATAATGTTACATACTAGTAAATTGTGAGATGCAGAAAGCATCGCCTTCTGTTGATTTATCTGCTGCCACAACAATGATGCAGAATGTGTAACTGACTCCAGCAGTCAGACCAGTGATGTGATACGAAGTGTTAGTAGTTGTTGATTTTCTATTTGTTTTATCATCAGTCCACTGAAGTTTAAAAAAAGATCCATTTCCAACTGGTTCATCCCATGTCAGAAACCAAGATGATGTTGTGATTTCAAGCACTATGAGATTCTCGATCACATCTGGCTCTGTGTGGGGAGAGAAGAGCAAATTGAGCACAAAGATGAGGGGAGGTGGGGGGCTGGGTCTGGGTTACTTCTGAGGTCTGGTACAAATATGACATACAAAAACATAGCCTATAGGGCAATATAAATGCACGATTAATCATTAAAATCTTGATTCAAACACATGTAATCTTGTTCCTGAATGACAATGATTCCACTATGTCTAGTAAACCTTTAAAATTTTGATCACACCAGAATATTTCGGCTGAAAATTTAGCTGTCACGACTGCTACTGTGAGGAACGAAGGAGCGCAGAGACGACGGAGAATATCACGGGGAACATTCTTTATTCAACCAAATAAAGACTCACAGGAAGGAACACACATGTAGCACGGGGATTGACGTTAGACACCGAACACTAGACACAGGAAAACACTGAGCTTAAATAACTGGAACTAAACAAGGGAATCAACAAGAAACACCTAAACCAAATGGACACAATCAAATACGGGAGAAACTGGGTCATAGGGAGAACATGGGGAGCATAACACAAGACAGGGGCAGTCCAAGGGCATGACATTACCTCCCCCTCCTGGAAGGCGCATCCAAGTGCCTCATAACTTCCAATGGGGAGAGGGGGCGGGTGGGCGCTCCGGAAGCCTCTAGGGACAGGCTTACACAGGACGGACAGCCCCCAGGGCGGTACCCGTTCCAGGACTCTTGGCGGATCAGGCAGTTCAGGAGGCCATGACGGAGCAGACAGTTCAGGGGGCCATGGCGGAGCAGACAGTTCAGGGGGCCATGGGGGAGCGGCCTCCGTGGCCTTGGCCTCGGCACTCAGCCCGGCCTCTACGGCCGGAGCCATATAGCCCCCAAAAAAAATTCCTTGAGAAAGATTTCGGGTTCTGAGGCCTTCCGTGGGCCTGACATAGGAGCAGCGGCCCTCCCTGGGCTTGACTTGGGAATAGGGTCCCTCTCTGGGCTGGACATGGGAACAGGAGTCTTCTCTGGGGTTAACTTGGGAACAGGAGTCCTCTCTGGTCTGGACGTGGGAATAGGAGCCCTCTCTGGACTAGATGTAGGAATAGGAGCCCTCTCTGGGCTGGACGTGGGAACAGGAGATGGAGCCGACACTGGAGCGGACTCAGGGGCTGGAGCCGACACTGGAGCCGACACTGGAGCGGACTCAGGGGCTGGAACTGACACTTGAGTGGACTCAGGGGCTGGAGCCGACAGTTGAGCGGACTCAGGGGCTGGAGCCCACAGTCTATTCCTCCGCATTCTCCTCTTTTGAGCAGAGGTGAAGGAGACCGCTGCTGTCAGCTGTGGCCTTGGGAGTGAATTGGCCGGCGGGCTTGACAATGGAACTGCCGGCAGGCTTGACGTAGGAGCGGCCGGCGGGCTTTAGAGTGCAGTAGCCGGGCTTGACAACAGAGCGGCTGGCGGGCTTGATGCAGCACTGGTTCTGGATCGGGGCCAGACGCTCTCCACGGGGCGATGGTAATTGGCCCCGATCCAGAACAATGAATTAAGCGTGGCGTCATCTAATGCCGTCCTCTCAGCGAGCCTGCCGAATTCCCAGGCAAATTCTACAAATGGAAGATTCTTGTGGGCTAGGGCGGCGAATCTTGTGGCGGCTTCCATTACATCAGTGAGAGAAAAAAAAGACTTTCAAAAACGGAAATAAAAACAGGGAGAAGGGCCGCTGCTTACTGTTCTACTGTTCAGTGTTCTGTCACTACTGCTACTATGAGGAACGATGGAGCATGGAGACGACGGAGAATATCACAGGGAACATTCTTTATTCAACCAAATGAAGACTCACAGGAAGGAACACACACGTAGCATGGGGATTGACGTTAGACACCAAACACTAGACACAGGAAAACACTGGGCTTAAATAACTGGAACTAAACGAGGGAATCAACAAGAAACACCTGAACCAAATGAACACAATCAAACACAGGAAAAACTGGGTCATGAGGAGCACATGGGGAGCAAAACACAAGATAGGAACACAGGGGCAGTCCAAGGGCGTGACAGCAGCGGTCATGTAAGCTTGTTTGACACAGCGATTTCAACCACAATATTGCAAACATCAAATAATAACAAAAGTATAGGGATAAAAGTAGTCTGGATATAAACACTGAAGTTACGGCATCAAAATGAGTAAATGACATTTTAAACTCATTTTACAGTACAAATAAAGATATTACACTAATATGCCAGCAGGGGTGACCAGTGACTGTTAAAATGTATTCGTTCAAAAACTCCAGATGAAACAAGTCTTCATTCATTCATTTCAAATGATTTTTTACATAATGAATTTATTTAAATTAACAAATATTTTAAATAGACTCATAACATTTTGGACATTTATAAATAGACTAATTTATAACATTAAACAACATTAATAGAACAAAACCGATACTAGCCCATATTACCTTGTTTGTTTGTCTAATGGGGGAATCATGATCTCTATGATCTATATTTTTCTATAATCTATATTATAATCTATAAACCCCCAAAAAAATAAATCCAGATTATCCAGAGTCATAAATTAATCTTAAAAGAACATATAATATACCTGGCATCTAATTTATACTATTAGCAATAATTAGTGGTGGAAATTTAGATTCTTTCAAGAGATTCGTTCATTTTCAGTTCGTTCACCAAAATTATTTGTTCACTGTTTCGTTCAGTGAACATTTCTTCATATTACATAAATATGCCAGTAGGTGTCGAAAAAGAGTGTCTTATGTCAATGAACGTATTTACTTATTACATAAAACTGATTTGGCTTTATTAAAATGTGTGCATAATCTACATTCAATAAATAAAGTCTAAATAAGCTGTTCAGATGACCAAAGCACAAGGTTTTCTTGCATAATTAACATTTTTATTGTTTGGTCAGACATTTACACATTCATAAATCGGGGATTAAACATGGAGTTATGTTCTGTATGCTAAATATGAATATAAAAACAAGCGTAGTGCACAGTACCTATAACTGCGCTTCATTTTTTCATGAATGAGAAGATCCCTCGATCTCGTTCAGACTCAAAAAGAAACTCGTTCAGTGGAGGGCGTATTCGTCCACTACATTCAACAAATCACATGCTCCGTCACATCTCATACTCGAAGGCTATTGGCTCGAGGTTTAATCATTCTTTGACAGGATGAAACAGTTCACAGAGCTACCCGGTTCACTGATCTGCGCATGCGCTGCTAATAGCGCCGTGCTGCTATGGAGGGAGGAATATCAGTGAACGAGAAATATGAGTCAATGGATTTCATGAACGAGAACGATTTGTTCACCTAAAAGATTCGTTCAAAAAGAACGATTCATTCACGAACGTAACATCACTAGCACTAATATTCGGGGTTGGGGATTAACGAAATACACGTAACATCATTATGTATTTAAAACACAAAATATGAGTAACTGTATTTCGTTATAATTACCTTTTAAATTGGTGGTAATCAAATAACAGTTACATCTGAAAAGTATTTTAGATTACTAAAGTGACTACTTTGAATTTAAATGTCATTTATTTCATTTTAATATTAATGTATAATGTTTGGAATTTTTTAACTAATGAGGCAACTGGTGATTCCCTGACTCTTTAAAAAAATGTGTGCAGCCTGTTCAAATAGCAACCGGCAGAATTAAGACGCTAGTCAGAACTCACAAAAATGCAGGGAAAAAAATCAGGCAGTCAAGCGCATAATGTGTTTTTGTCAAGGTAATACAAAGACAATTTTACTGACAAATGTGGAAAAGGTCGTAACATGACAATGCAGTGCAATTTTGTTCCCTGCAACAAAACTTCCCTCAGCTTTAATGGAACATCTAATCTTGAAAAAGCATCTTATTGTAAAGTTTTCACGCCACACATACATTTTCTCACGCAGAGCTAGTGACATTTCTCTGTATGAGTTTTTTTTTAATATTTTTTATAACATATGGTATAGTTAAGCAATTTCAATCAAGAAGTGTGCCGTTTTCCCGAATGTTAGCACGACTGCAAATGTGATAACTGATTTTACGCAATTCAAATACAAGAAGTTAATATTAAGTGACTTACATTAAAGGACAGTATTTCTGATTTGCTCTATATCACCAACAAAAACAGTTCCAAATATGGAGTGTCTTTTAAGTGCAATTAGCCCACCTTGTTGGCAGAGGCTATTTACAGTACAGTAGCTGCACCCACATATGTCTGCTTTCAATAGACATCAATAAAAAAAAACGCATATTCAACAACAGTAGCAGTGGCGTAGGGAGACTCGTGATAACTTCTAAAGCGTTCGACGCAAGTAGAATCCACCTTTTGCCAAACTTGTTCAACTCACATTCTTTTCCCTTTTCCCATCACATATCAGATCGGAAAGGCATTTATTTTCAATAAAGTACCTCACATATATTTAGTGTTTATAGGGTATAGCAGTAGGGTTAGGTGTAGGTAGGGCTTTATTGATGTCACGCGTGTGTTTCCGTTTAGTTTCTGTTTGCCCCAATTTGGTCTAATTCCTGTTTCCTGTTCTCGTAATTAGTTAATCTTTGTTCATTTAGATCACCTGCGTTGGTGTTAATCATCTCGTTTGCTCCTTAGGTTTCCTGTCTTCATAAGCCCTCAGTTTCTGTCGATTTCTTTGTCTTGGATTAATGTTATTTTTCAATGGTTTACGTGGTTGATGCTGATCAAAAAGACTCCTTTACTCCTACTCCTTCGTCGTGCGCATCCTCTACAACCACAACCCCATGACAGAATCCAAGACCCGTTACTGACAATGACGACATCAATGGAGGAAGGAGCGAGGTTAATCGCCGTGGCACAAGCGAACCCCGACCCAATCGTCTACGCGAGGGCATTCGTGGGGGAAACCCTCATGACGCTGTTCCGGATTGGGATTACTTACCATTGCCCCGCGGAGCTCCCAGACACCACCAACCTCGACTGGAAGGAGGCAGTCATCCAGTGTCTGGAGAGCCTCCGATCCCGATCCCGATCGGGGACCCC